CTAATTGGCTAAAAAAGTAAGTCCCCAAACGAGGCCTTAGTAACTTTTTGACTAATTGGCTAAAATAGCCTCTTGCCAAACGAGGCCTAACTAGTTCGAAAAGAATATAGATAATAAGTTTTGACCATATGAGCTTCCTTGTCAATTGATAAAAGTTAAAAAGTAATCACCTACTAAATTGTCAAAGTAAATATATACCACACCAAATACAATATTACATGACATAAATAAATAATCTATATGTATTATAATTTAATAATTATATAATATTCTAGAAATGGAAATATGAATTATTAAGATGGGATGTTCGAATATAGATATAATGGTAAAGAATTTAAAAGAAACATATGAGATTAAAATTATGAGACTTAAACAAGTTGGGTCAATTTTACGAAAAACATTTAATCTGTTTGGTTCTGGTTTTTCAAACTTTTTTTTTTTTTGGTGAAAATTTTAGAGTTTTTGTTTGGTTAAGTCTATAAATCAAAAAAAGTTCACAAAAAAACTTTTTTGGATGCACACTTGGAAACATAGACGTGATTTAATGTGACTTGTTTTTTTTTGTTTTCTTTCTAGTTTTTGATGTGACTTGTTATCTTCTTCTTCTTCTTCTTCTTCTTCTTCTTCTTCTTTTTTTTTTTTTTAACTTTTTTTTTTTTTGGTGAAAATTTTAGAGTTTTTGTTTGGTTAAGTCTATAAATCAAAAAAAGTTCACAAAAAAACTTTTTTGGATGCACACTTGGAAACATAGATGTGATTTAATGTGACTTGTTCTTTTTTGTTTTCTTTCTACTTTTTGATGTGACTTGTTATCTTCTTCTTCTTCTTCTTCTTCTTCTTCTTTTTTTGGTGTTGTTGAATGGTTCTAGCAAGTTGACTGAAAGTCCAATGTGGCAGGATTTTGAATTTTACGTTGACACAATATTCAATGTGGAGGGATTTTAAATTTAAAAACAAAAAAACAAAAAAAAAATCAAAAATACTTTTGTATTTGATGTTATAAAATTTTGTAAGTTGGTTACTTAATTTTTTATGCCAATTTGTGATTAAATTACGTATTTTGTGGTTATGAAATTTTATGATAAAGTCACAAATTTAATGGTAGGGTATGCATCCATAAAAGGATAGATACCAAATTATTTTTTGATACATATACAGTATGTACGTATATATACATAAAACAAATATAGTAGTACTTTTGATGTGACAATAATTTATTTTTTTTCAATTTATTATTGAATACATCATTTAGGCTGCCCTCTCTCTCTATGTGTGGAGGGAAAATTGAATTTCTTTGCAATAGTCAAATTTTTAGAAAGCAAACACATATCCATTTTCAAAACATAGTTTTTAAATCACTTTTTTTTTGAAAAATAACTCAAAAAACTGAAATCAAACATAGTGATTTGTACTAAATTTTAATGAATGAAATTGAGCTAGAGGATAACTTCTATAGCGACCCTGGTTTTGACCCGTCCTTTGTGGTGTTCCGAACTCGGGTTTGTATGTGTTGAATGGTGGTTCATGTCTTGTCTCCTTTGTCTTCCCCTCATTGTTGGTTATTGGGTTGTGGTTGTGTGTTTGGAAAATGTTGGTTGCTTGTTTTTTTTCTAAACTCTTGGTTGCCCAGAATTTGGCTCTTTCGCTCGAGCAGGCATTCTTGCGCTCGAGCGGGGACTGTGTTTGCAAAAATACTAGGAGAGCGTATTTCACGCTCGAGCGCAGGGTTTCACGCTTGAGCGAGAGTCTGTGTCTTACACTCGAGCGAGGCTTTCCACGCTCGAGTGGACCGCCTTTTATCAACATGCGAAAGTGACATTTTAGATCACTTTTTGCAATCCTCTCTCTCTCTAAAAGTCTCAAAGATCCAGATCTAGAGCCTCTCTCTAGAAATCATCTTCTCTCTTTGATTTCTCCAAATCCATTGGGATTTTGGCCATAGTTCCTTCGTCAAAGTTGTGTAATTTCTCGAGAGCTTCGTTGAATGCGGTGGAGATCGAGTTTCATCGTCGTTGATTTTCGGAGTTACAACTCTTTTCTTCTTTAAACTTGAGGTAGGGTTTTTCTTTGAGTTATTTATATGTTTTTGCAAGATCAAGATGATTTTTGAAATCATCATTTGATTGGTTTTGAAAATTTGTTGTTGATTCAAGAAAAAGAGTGATTTTCAAAGTGGGTTTACTATTTGATTCTTTGAAATACAAATTGAGGGTTTTGAACTATGTTGATTGAAGAAAGAGGAATTTGGTGAGATTTTCTCAAATGTTTGAAGATAGATGGTTTTGGTGATAAAACCTAAAAATTGGGGATGTTTAAACAAGAAGTTGAAAACCCATGGTTGTTATTGTTATCTTTATTTTGAATGTCAAAATAAGTGATGTTTGGAAAATTTCTTGTTTATATTGTATAAATGATAAATTTTGAGAAGCATGAGAATTGTTGTTCATTTTGAAAATTGTTATTCAAAATGTTGATATAGTCTTGAAATGACTAAGTTGTTGGAAATTTTTGAAATGTGGGAATTATGTTATTCCTTGGATGAATTGAAATAAAAGTATTTATTCGTCTTGTAAAATTACATTGAAAGGAGAAATGGAAATTTTGATCACAATGGTAGTATTGTGTGGAAGAATTGGAAATGAAAGAAGTGTTGTAATGTATTGATTATTGTTGCATTGGCATATCTTCATATATTTTTAATGAAAAACTGTATTCATACAAAAGAGTATTATAAGTATGTAAAATTAATTTGGATCTTAGTTTACGGTTAAAATTTGGAATAGCTTTAATAATGATTTTTGCAGAAATTGATATTTATATATTAATACTTAGAATTTGATCTAGAGTTAGTTCTTCATGTTACACACTACAAGAAAAAGCACCTTTTTCATGTTACACACTACAATTTGAATCATACATATATATATATATACATATATTGAATAAAACTATGAGTACTTTTTTTGAACATTGAAAATTAGCCCACTAATTATGTAATTAAGGCCTCCTGTGCCTAAGATTTTTAAAGTAATTTTTTTAGTTGTTTTTAGTTTTTCTTTTTTTAAAAAAAAAACATTTTTTCATTTTTCAAATATCGAAAAGTAAATACATAAATAAAAACTTATTTCATGAAACAAGCTAAAAAGTGAAAATTTTAAAAATTATCACAGTTTAGTCCCACCCAAAAAGAAAATCTATTCTTTTTACTCCCTAACTTAATTCATCATGTTGAGATTTTTTCAAAATCTATCTTTAAAAAAAAAATGGTTACTCTAAGTTACACAAAATTAAAATTAAAAATTTCATTCAGTTTCTTTCTTTTTTTAAAAATAAAAAAAAAATCATTAAAAATGAAAAATAATAAAAGAGAAAAAAAATCTTCCTACATGAGTGTTATAAAAATAAAAATTAAAAATTAAAAAGTTAAGAAAACTAACAAAATTACTAAACAATATGACTTATTTCACTATTAAAAAACAAACAAAAAAAAATGCAATATGCTATAACTTTAAAAAAATAATAATAATGCACTACAAAAAAAGTCACTTTTAGCGACTATATTGGTCGCCAACTGTCTGTTTTTTAGTCGCCAATGACATTTTGCAACCAAAAATTTTGGTCACTACGTTTGTTGCCAAAACTCTGTCGGGAAAGGTCTTGGAGGGTTTTGTCAACCAAAAAACCTTTGGTCGACAAAAAGCAAGTCTTTAGCGACCAAAATTTTGGTCGCCAATAGTCAGTTATATTTCTTTAAAATTATACATTTACCGACCAATGTTTTAGTTGCTAATAGTCAAGAAATCGCCAACCAACACCTTTAGTCGCCAAAAGTTTCAAACGTGAAAAAAAAAAAAATTGTTGTAGAACAATTTGATCCTCTCTTGTGGAGACTCAAACCACCAACCTCCCCGCACCATAAACTTTATGCACCACTCTTCCCACTATGCCTCTATAGCACCACGTGATTGTATATGTGACATACATTATTTATATAGTACATACATCCATATTAATATAAAAGTATATGTATAAACTATTTAGTAGCAAAATAAAAATAAAAATAAAAAATTAACTTTTAGCGACCAAAATAATTTTAGTCGCTAAAAATGACCACTTTTGGTGACTAAATTTATTTTTTTGTCTCCAATTGTAGACTTTTGACTACTAAAATTTTTTTAGTCACCAAAAAGTTTTACTTTTGGCTACTAAAATTTTTTTAGCCTGTAAAACACATATAATCAGCGACCAAACTTATTTTTAATCACCAATTGTAGACTTTTGGCTACTAAATTTTTTTAATAGCCAAAAAGCTTTACTTTGGGCTACTAAAAATTTTTTAGTCACTAAAGCCCATATAATCAGCAACCAAATTTATTTTTAGTCACTAATTGTAAACTTTTGGCTACTAAATTTTTTTAATCGCCAAAAAGCTTTATTTTTGGCTACTAATGCTGTTTTGGTCACTGAAAGCTATACTTTTAGCGACCAAATTTTTTTTAGTCGAAAAATTTGGTCTCCGAATGTGCTTTTTCCTGTAGTGCTAAAATAAGATTATCCAATCCTTTTAATATATGGTATTGTAAATGATTTTTTTATATATATAACAAAGACTTGTAACAGTTAACATAAATAATTTGCAATGTAAATGAAAAAAATGATACCTGTGCGTCTTGGCTAGGATACTGATGATGATGGGTATTCGGGTCCACTTGAGAACGACGCGCTGGGTTTTGTACATACATATGGGTAATGGTTTGGTACCAATCCATGTAACCAGGAACACAATCCCAAGGTTACCGTATCGGTGTACTCCTCCTCCGATCAGATAACACATGGTTGTTCCATGCCTCCCAAATGATGTCCAAGTATGCATACATAACATTGTAGCGTGGAGCTGTGGCTCCTCGAGAAGCACGCATAGGGCCAAGTGGTGGATTAGGTATTGTCTGCATTCTGCCAAACTGTCTCAAAACTCTATCAGGGTGATATGGTTCAACTACTTCCAAACACTTTAGGCAACCGTGATAGAACATAGCTGGGTGACACGGATGGACATCTCTGCAACTCTAGTATGGGTTCCAAATACCCTACAAACAATAACAATTGTAAGATATAACAATTGTAAATTTTGTATGATATAGAATTTCAAATTTTGAAGGACTTTTTAACTTACATCATATATACCTAACCTATCAAGCTCCTCTCGAAAAGCCTGCAACTGTCTCTCTTCACCAGACTCTCTCCGAGAAGTCCAACGGTAAACATGTGGCATGTCTCGAGTGTAATTCATATTCAAGTGTGGTTGGAATCCACGAAAGTGCTCATAAATCCATCCCTCAAGAAGTGTCATGTAATCGGCTATTTCTTTCACATCGGACCTGCTAGCACACCCCATCTATCTATATAAGTATGTCAATGTAGTAGCACTCCACGCATATGAAGATATAGTCATCAAATCGGACAACAAACTCAAATAAACAACGAGAACCCTAGTACCAGTCTTGTCACTGAAAAGTGTACAACCCAACAAAAATAGCAAGTATGCTCTACCTGCACATGCAATTCTTTTCATTGAATCATTGTCTATGACATTATGAAAGTGTGCGCTCAACCATTCAAGCCGCACTGAATTGCCTCCAGCAGTAGACATCTCATGTCTGACCTCTTGCTCATCAATTTCCAAGGTATTAACTACTAATGCAATGGCCCGCCTTTCAGACAACTTACGCACACTAATAGATTTGCCTACAATGAGAAGCCCTAGGATAGTGGCAACATCATCCAATGTGATAGTCATCTCTCCAACAGTGAAATGGAAGGTGTCTGTCTCAGGTTGCCATCTCTCAACAAAACTAGACACTACAATTTTGTTAACAAAGCGGTACGTGCAACGAGCTAAGTGTACAAGTCCTGACATCTCCACAATGTTTACAAATGTAGCATTGTTTCCTTGTTCCCACCACGGCCACGAACGAATCTTAGACGAGTGATTATGACACTTTAACGGCCCCCTTTCATCAACACCATTCCAAACAGCTGCGGCAATATGACTTTTAAAACTTTTAAGGATTGATGGATCAGTTGGCCCTCCCGGAAATGGCTTAGTGTAGACACCCTATTTTTGACCGTCCTCAAGACTTGAACGTCATCGTTTGAACACTCGATGATTATCCATGTTTGTGTTTGTCCTGAGTTCTCGGAGGTCTCGGCCATGCGCCTTGTCTCAAGACCTCTCGACTTGCCTGTTTTGTGTTTGGTTTTGCACCAAACACTTTTGTTTTTGCTTCGAAGGGTGGGAAATGGCTTGTTGGCCATCCTCACACCTCACCGGCCATGGCTTAAGGCCACCGGCCCTGTTTTGTTGCTACCGGCCATTGGTTATGGCCGGTCGGCACTCTTTATGGTCGGCCGACCATTGTTTTGGTCAATTTGTCATTTTTGGCTGGCCGATCACTATTCATCTGCTTTTGACAGATATTTTATGCCAGCTGTGATAGCTAGCATCCACAATGCACCCCCTCCATACACGTGTATGGAGGGATTTCCCTCTTGCTTAGCTTGTTTTGTAAGCTTTGCAAGAGTGAATCTCTATAAAGGGAGGGCTTCTCCTCCTTCCTAAAGGTTCCAAAAAAGAGTTCCAGAGAGGGTCTGAGATTAGGGTTTAGGATTTGTATCTCTCTACTTCTATATGTCCCTCTATTTCACTCTAATGTGTGTATAAGGTGTATTTGTTCTTAGTTTTGCACTAGGACACCTAGTATCACACCTTACCTTGGATGCTGAGGTGCCAAAGGGCTATTCTTGAAGTTTTTGAGTGGATTTAAGCTTGGAAAGGCTGCTGGAGCCTTGTCCTTGAAGGTGGTCTACAAGGGTGAGATTCTCGCTCTTTATTTCCCATTTTTGCATAAGCCTTTTGCCTACCTTGCATCTGTTTTTGAGCTTAGTCTATAACTGATAAAAGTTCTAATTTCACTTGCTTAAAATAGTTGTTTAAGGTCTCTTTGGTGTTTGGGGTTGTTTACCCCCTCTTAGGCCTTGTTTGGTCTCATTTTGTGCTATTTCTAGTGAGCTCCGGGACCACCTTGTATTGGCCTTCTCACTACTGAAATCCAGAAAGATTTCAATGGTGAGGATGGTGCTTTGAGGTCCTAAGAAGGAGAGGGTCATCCCCTCTCCTTGTTGTCTTCAAAACTTGTCATTTTAGCCTTATGTGTGAGCACCTTTTTAAGTACATGTTGGCCATGTCTTAGTTGGTATTTGTGGTTGTTTTGCCATGTTATATCTCTATTTCAAGTTGGTTTAGACACACCATGCATGCTTTGCATACTTGCCTTGTAATGCCATGAAATTGCCTTAACATGCTTTGTGCTTTGAGCCTTGTTTTTAGTATGATTTTGGCTTAGCTTTGTGACGCTTTTATGCATGTTTTAGTGTGCTTGAGGTCTGAATTTGGTTATTTGGGTCGTCCATGACTTGCTTTGTATAACTACCATGCAATCTCCCTTATAGGCCTTGAGTGTTGGCCTCTCTAGCATGCTCTCCTTGCATCATTTCAGTGGTTTGGCACCACTTATCATGTCATTTCAGTCCATATGGTATGCTTGTATACTTGCATTTGACACTCCTTTAATGCCTTAAAAAGTTGTTGTCTTATGCTCCATGTTTGGACCTTTATGTTCGCTTTCATGTGTAGGCCATTTAGATGCAATCTAAGTGTGTCTTGGGCCTTGTTTCGACCTACATTGGGACTGTTTTGAGTCCCCTCGAACCTTTGGGACCCGCCTTGCATAGCCATGGTTTGATCCCTTAGGTTAGTCTTAGGCCTTGGGCTTGGTTGCATGCTATGCTTGCCTTGTTTAATTGGTTTGGCACCTTTTCTAACATGATTTCAGAGTTTGCTATGTGTAACAGCGCCCGCGTGGGAGGCCTCGTGCTACAGTTCGGACTCGATTTGTGTCACGGTTCTTAATCTGAACCAAAGAGTCCAAATCCGGCAAATCGTTTTGAGAAACTGATTTTTGAAAAAGTAGTGCCAAACATGGACTGCTTTGCCAGATACAGAGTCGCCACCTAAATATTTTAAAATGGGAGAATTTAGGAAACCCTGACTCGGTGCCGAAGGCCACATGTCCGTCATCACCGGAGTTGTCTCGACTTGAAGATGTCCAAAACTCAAACTTTCTTGGATCAAATGGAAGCTCACAAGATGCTCAATATTTTTAGTAAAGGTACAAGGGTTGAGAGATCCTCAAATCAATGTGTATTTATATATATATATATATAGAGAGAGAGAGTATTTTAGAGAGAGAGTATTTTAGAGAGAGAAGGAGCTGAGCTAGGGTTTTGTGTGAGAAAAGGGGCCAACAGTGATACAAAATATCGCTACTGCGAACTAATATACGCTACCTTCGCTCGAGCGAAGGAGTTGTCGCTCGAGCGACTAGACACACAAGTGACCTCGCTTGAGCACAAGAAGCGTCGCTTGAGCATAGAATGCAAAGCTTCAGGTCTGCCATAGACGCACACGCTCACTCGAGCACAAGAAGTTTCGCTCAAGCGAAGAAGCAATTTCACAAGACTCGCTCGAGTGCAAAAAGCCTCGCTCGAGCAAAGAACTCTACCTTCCCATAAAAGCTGCGTCTGGGAAAGAAACCTGAGGACCCTTTACTCTCGCTCGAGCGCAAAAAAACCTCACTCGAGCGAAGGAGCAAATTACACAAGGCTCGCTCAAGCGAAGAGACCAAAATCTAGGCAACAATAATCTATACCAACTAACAACCAACCTATTCCAAACTCGCCCAACA